TACTCCTCCAAGGAAAAGCTGAGAGAGAGACTTCTCAAGGCCATCACTTATGCCAAAGGGTTTGGGATGCTGTGACGAAGCCGCAAAGTTATCAGAGCCAAAAAAGGGAGTATTAAGAAAGTGGATAGGGAAATGCAGTGGAGAAAAATACTGTAATAACCCTGTGCCTAACCAAACTACTGCAGTCCACTGCTGGCCTTTCACACTTCATATGCATTAGATTTCCCAACAGACTGTATTTAAAAGATGGACGCCATTTCCTGGTGAAGTGAAGCTCAAGTGCCTTAAACTTGCATTCTTTCTGATGACCAGCAGGGGGAGACTCCACTGGTGGAATGAGATGTCATTATCTCAAAAGGTGGAACAATGGAAAAATATATGTAAAAAGTTCACAGATCAGTGCAGAGAAAGAAAATACAACCGAAACGCAGCGAATATGAAATAAGTAAAAAGTCAATTGTTGTAATTAAGAGCTAAATATAATTTAATAAGGCTAAATGAAATAGAATGTAAGCTTTTTTTTTTTATCAAGTGTGATGAAAAGAACAAGCACAACAGCTGTCAGAGGTCGTCAGAGTGTAGTGAACAAGGAATAGGGTGGCTGAACGTCCACAGGGAACATCTGTAAACCTCCCGTCACCGGTGACGTCTGTGCACGCGATGAGTTAACAGTCTGAGTCAGTATTTTCAAGTAACCCCTGTTAAAGCTAAGAAGGAGGCTGTGCTTTACTGTGACTGACGAGATATTGGCCTCCGAGGCCTCCCATTTTCCCGTTTCCCATCCTTTGCACAACCTTTACTATGAATAATTATAAATTCGGTACACATCATTTCAACACATCAGCCAGAGTAATATAGTGCGTGCACAGCTGTGCTCATCTGTCATTGTTGCTTGAGCTCTTTTTACTCCAAAGAAAACAGGGCTCCCTCACCAGTTTAAGAGTTTAAACCAGTGCTCCTTAAAACCTAAAAAATATAAATCTGTACAAATCAGTACTAGAACATCTTTAGACATAAAACTAGCTAGCTAACTAAAGAAAGAAACTGGATTTTGAAACCTAAATGTCAGGAGATCTAACAGTTATGGTGTGACACTCAGTTTGAGGCTTCACAGCGGGAGCTCATGAACCAGTCGATGTCATTAGCGTGGTTCAGCATTACTACCAATTTGTATTTTTAATGGATTTTTATTTGTATTTCACTTTGATGTTTTGTTTTTTAATCAGTGTGGTTTCCAGACTGGGTTTGCTCGTCTCAGTTTAGTTTTTATTGCATGTTTTTAGTTTCATTTTTTATCCGTTTATCCGTTTTAGTCTGTAGGACTGTTTTTCGGGTGCAGATTTAAGAAGTTCACATTAGGCATTAAAACACATGGACGTCCCAGCCTCACCAAGCACATGCAGCAGTATCTCCTCACGCTCCTCAAGACTAAAACTAAAAAAGGTTTTATTTTATTTTTGTTTTTTTAAGAACAAAATATTGTATTTTTTTAATTCTAGTTTCAATGTTTACCACAGTAACTGAAATGTTTTTGTCACACCTACTTTTACGTTAGTTTAGCTGCGGTTGTGTCCATCTTTTACTTACAGTCTGTAGATTTCCCAGAGTTGAAAGGCGCTTAAATATTTAAATTTTTTCACGCGTGTTTCGTTACTGAGCCAACATCAAACTGTATTGTGAAAGTGCACTTACACAGAGCACATTCAGGATATTTTGCATTTAGTTTGACTTGTTTTGTGTGTTTTCTGCAGTTGTCGTAATGTAGCAGCATTCGGTGCACACACTCTGGGCATAACGGTGCTCTTTGGGTATGATTGTCATTTACTATATGCTGAACTGAAGCCTTTTTTAATTCCTGCTATTGAAGTCAAAACAACCTCATAGAGAAGCTTATATTTAAACATTTTCTTTACCCAAAAAAATAAATAAATAAATAAATGTTATATCCAGATGTGATTATATCTGGTTACGATCTAACAGTTTTGTGTTGTGACCTGACAGTTTGGTTTCAGAGTATGCTTCCTGACTGGTCGGTTCAGACTTTCACTTCCTCTTTCTTTTGGTTTGTTTGCTAATCTTACTGATTGCACAGTCATGAGGTGCCAAATGTGCAAGGCCTACACAAGAAAAAGAGTCACACCATGTTTTATTTTGACAAATGTCTCAGGTACAAACACAGAACGTGCAGATAACGTGAAACTCTTTTGTAAAGCTTCTGTTATGCAAATTAAATAAAGGTGAATTAAAAAAACAACAACATTAACACTCACTGGAAGACTTTAAGCTGAAACTCTGTTTTTCAAATAAATACCTGATCATGACTGCGGCTCGTCTCACAGTCACAGATTCATTTCTTTGTTCTTACTTTTGGAAAATTTGGTTTCAAACCTCTCTAGAGGTCGCCACAGCATATCACCTCTCCTTTCAATAACTGCCATCAGATTTTAGCAGCTCGACAACACGCAGCAGAATAAGTTAGCACATAGCTGATGAACACAACGGGGTACTCGCTTAAAGAGGAGCTGGTTTTCCTTCATCGCTGATGAAGCTAAAATCAGACTTTTCACAAAACATGGTGATAATGGTTCAGTCGAGAGAGTGGTGCAAGATCACATTCATGTGTATCTGTGAGAAATGGAAGAACTGAGCAGTTAAATAAGAGATGATGTGTTATCACTTGACCTCTGAGTTGCTTTTCTGCTGCACTTGAGTAGTCAAAGTAGATGTTAGACTTTTAAAGGGCAATTCAGCTCTGAGGGGAAACATTAAACAAATACAGGGAATGCAGAATTATTAGGCAAGTTGTATTTTTGAGGAATAATTTTATTATTGAACAACAACCATGTTCTCAAT